AATATGAAAATTTACCTTGTAGTTCACAAGAGATGGGCGGGCCGTAAGCCACACTTGCTGATTGGCCTCATTTACGAACCACACACGACATTTGACAGATTTACCTTTAAATTTAAAATCAGAATTTGGTACTCTCACAGTCAAACACTGGAAATAAAAAAAAACTAAAGTTATATGATCACATAAAAATTATATATCAATAAGTTGAAAACTCTCACCAACTGTAAATGCCTTCTCTAGAGCAACTTTTTTATCAGCAGCATGTTCTGCAGGAATAAACCCTTTCACAAAATCATTCAATGCCACTTGAACGCCACGGGGATGAATGTCTGTCACTTGAGCTTCCACCACTTGGCCTGGTACCGCGTCCTTTAACAATGAATTATATTCCAAAGTACAGCGGAAACAGACGGACAAGTACAAGGGAGCATCATAAATGAGCATTCACAATCATTCATAAGGCAGAGTTCGATGAGAACACTTGATATGATAATTTACCTTATAGGATACGAATTTTTGACTGAGCATATCCTTACGAGTAGAGACAATGATACACCGGTCAGCATATCGGAAGTTCATAACTCGACAAGTGTGCTCAGAACCAACTGGATACACTTTTTCTGAAATAATCATTAGATATATGTGGGGACATAGGACAATGAGGTGTGCGATGAACACGATAATACAGCCTGTAAACTTGATTTTTTTTTGCGGTTCCATGCACCATCTCTCTCCCCATATAAACGCATTTTGAAAAAGAGGAGAAGGGGGTAAGGGGTGGAAGCTTAGGGGCACTACTTTCTTTCTTCAAAAGAGGAGGTCGCATTTATCGGGCAGGAGGGGGGATGAGGGTCATTATGGTACGCCACCCACGATGACCAGTGCCTGACTCAAATAATGGCGCTCGGAGAAAAATTCCGGGTTGGTTACAGAACTGCCTAGTAAGGGGGAAAGATTGCTAAAAATAAGGACCGATTGAGAATTCACAGCGCTGGAAAGAGCAATCCTTCAGTGAGAAGCTATGGATATACAACAAAAATCCGTATCTCATTGATGAGTTAGACTACATAGCGAAAGACTGGTGAAGAAGCAGGGCCTAAGATGTGCTAGGTAAACTCAAAAAGAATGGAGGGCCACACAGAGCGGAAGCAATGTGTAAGGAGATTAACGGGTCTTATCACAAAACCTACTCATTGGATTTCGAGATGGCTCAGAAACAAGGGCAAAGCGGACGAGAGCTAGCGAAGCAGCGGGCGAATGTTCATGGTAGGCGGAGCATTCAGCGAAGAGGCGAAGAAAAGATCAAAAATTCAGGCTTGGGTTCCCAAGTATCTTATGGTTAGATGAGGGAAAATAAATAGAAACTGGAAAAAGAGAAAAATCAAATATCCGGAGAGATTGCCGTCCGCAGAAGAGCTTTGGTAAAACTAGCAGTCAAATTCCAGTTAGTTTTTTTTTATTCCTGAGCCAATGAAGCCAATGTTAAGCAAGCAGACTATGCGGGACTAACTAATCACTATGATCCATACACCACATTAATTCACAACAAAAATAATTGAGAGCGAAGAAAAACAATAGTGAGTAGAACCGTAGAATTGTACCTATCTCTTCCGGTTTGTTCAAATATTTTTTGTAAGAGATAGCAGACACTAATGGTGTTTTCCCATCCTCTGTCGTGGGTAGTGAGAAACAAACAAGAAATGTTGATGGAACGACATCGATGACAGTACATTTCAAACGATCGCCAATAGAATAACCCTGAACATGCATCAATCAAAAAAAACTTTAAGTAAACACCATCACCTGGTAAAATTTTAAGGATAATGGGTCAAAATTATATAAAGGACGCGTAAGTGATAATAGAGAATGAAAGCCTTTTAACGTACCAGAAATGAAGAGCGCTTCTCAGGTTTGCTAATGGCAATGATATCAGGATGTGCAGAGAGCACAAGGAGAGGAGTGTTCTGCTGGCAAAACATAACAACACAACGCAGCGCTCTTCCAATCTTGGTTATGTCGCCACGCAAGCGAGGTGGTAGATGGCTTTTTGCCACAAAACCACGAATGCCTAAATAACGAAAAAATATAGCGTCGCAATAACAGCAGCGTATCCAGCAAACAAATAATGAATGGAAAGGCAACTTTGTTTGCAGTGAGATTTCTTGCGAGAATGTTGGGTAATTCCAAAATTACTGTTGAAGGCTTACCATTCCCTAAAGCGACATAAATTCCTGCTGTTATTGAAGGCTCTGCATCGGGTTCGCAGTCTATGATAGTACCCGGCGTTAAGTGATTAAGTTGGAGACTCTGACACGCTTCCAAGCATAAATTATCCTGCAAGAAATATTTTACACGAAACGAGCTAAAATGTTTTAAGTCCGAAAAAGATAATTCAACAAAACTCGAGCATTGGAGGAATGTTGAAAGGCCAACAAGAATTTCAAGGAAAACAGGTGTAAATAAACAAAGGCACATTTTCACTTCTCATTATGGTGTTTACCTAAAAATTCTTGGAAAAAAGATCAAAGACACAAAAGCTCCTTGCCACGACGTCTTTTACGCACCATATTACGTCTTCATTTTCAATTAAGAATTTATTAAAGGGAAAGAGGAAAAATTGTTAGTCACCTGCTCGACATAGGCGGTCACAGCAATAACTCTGGTCGAGCTCACAACTTCTATGCGAACCATGACTGGCTGACCAACTTCTAGAGTTCGTAATTGTTTCTTGGTAGGCAAAAAGGCTTGTAGCGATTGCATACCAATGTTCAACACAGCACCTGTATATTTGACATATTTTCTTGTACGTTTAACGAGATTTAATTAGAAAAGATGAACAGAATAGTCCGTACCTTTCTCTTCAACACTTTCCACAATACCTTGCAACACCAAGCCGGGAACAAGCCTAGCAGGTGAGAAATGAGAATACATCTTCGAAGGATCACAGGTAACAACGGGTAATGATGACCTCCTTTTCTTCGTGTTAACTTTTCCTTTCTTCACTGCTTAAACGTGCAAGTTGCGCAGAGATACTTGAGCAAATGCAGAAATGACAAAACTGGAACTTACACGTTTGTAAACTTCGCTCAGTGACACGAAACGCAACCATCTGGCCAACAACAAACGCAGACTCCAGCGAAATCTTTTCGAGTTTCAAAAGTTCCGTAAACTTCTTTGAGATCTGAAAATAAGCCTTTGCGCAAATTGAAAATGGTCCGTTTTCAAGTGATGAATAATGCTGTTAATTGAAAAGAGACTTCAAAATGCAGAAGTAAAGAAATAAAAGCAAAAGATGTTCGATGTACCTGAGTGGCAGGAAGTTTGACACGACATGAGTCTGCAGTTTCTAATAACACATAATCTTCGTGAATCTGAATAAATCTTAATAATGCGATGTATAATGACCATAAGACTGCAATGTAGTGGAGAATCACAATCAAGAGCAATCAGCCCGAAAGGCAGTGAAATTTGGAATAAAGCTAAAGCACATGAAAGATTGTGCTCGCGAAGTTTTTTTTGCGTATATTTTCGAATTATTGGCAAATGATTCGTTCATGGATGGAACATGTTGGAACTTACGAGGAAAGGTCACCAGGTCGGTCCGGCCATTTGCAATGAGGTGTATACCTACGCATTCGTCTTGAGACGATAAGCTAGAAACCGCTTTTCTTATCTGCTAAACGGTGCTCTGAACGGAGTTACGGAAGTTTTCCCCTCAACACTGTACTTAAACGCAGTATATGAGCGCTATCATTGGAGTCGCCACTATAAGCCAAGCGGGAAGGCGCACGTCGTGGTTGACGTGGCGTAAGTGGTAACGCTCCAGGCTTGTAGGCGAGAGGTCATGGGATCGGTCTCTCGTGGTGTTTGTTGTTTTGCCTTTTTGAAAACATGACCAGAAAGGCTTTTAGCGACAGTATCTCCTCAATTGCCTGCCTTTACCTGCCTGTGTAAGGAGTTAGCGAGCACCTCTGCGCAGGTTGAGAGCTATTTTTAATTAATATTTGCCATGACTGAAAACGACGCTCATAGCCCACTGATAAGGTGTTTTTGCGGTAAACGAGTATGATATTCGTGTTCAGGAGACCGAATTTTCCCTGGTTACAAGTTTCCAGCTGAATCTGAGATTTTGACCTACACTCGAGAAAGGGCAGTCAACATACAGTCAAACGAGAGAAGGTATGAATCGAAAACTAACTGGAAAAGCACCTTCCCTGAATTTTGATGCAGAGTCATGTAAATCATTTCCATTATGCGGAAATGTGAGCCGTTGAACGTTTCTCTTTTCAAAATCTTGGTTGGAAGGGCAATTTCCATGCCAAGAGTTCAACGATAGGTTGATGATATGATGGTTGACTCACCTCATTTTTTAGGGTTGGGTCAAAATCTCAGATTCGGTAGGAAACTTATCTCCAAGGGTAGTTTGATCTCCTGAACACGAATATCACGCCTGTTTGCCGCGAAAAAGCCTGACACGTGCATTACGGGCACCATGTTCATACATGGACGACTACTGCCCAAACCTGCAAGGAACTGCTCGAAATTTTTTCGTACAGGGAACTAATGGCAAAGTTGATAAATTAAGAAGTTAGAAGCTTTCTGGCTACATCTTCACGAAGCACAAAAGAAACAGACTCTCCGAGGAACCGTTCCCACGACCTCTTGCTCGCGAGTTCGGGGCACTGCCACTGCGCTTCCTTGCTTTATAACTACGTTCAAAGAATCGTTTAGCAGATAAGGAAGGCAGTTCTGAGCTCAGCGCCTCGAGGCGACTTCAACGGTATACGACTCATTGCAAATGGCCGGACCGGCCTGTGACCTTCCCTCGTTAGTCGGAAAACATTTTTCCTACCTCTGTAACAACTCCTAATCCCATAACACCGTCGGTGAGAAGTTCCAACGTTATCGGTTTGCTCCATACTGCTGTCTTCTCTTCAGACTTTTTCTTTTTCGAGGGTGTTTCAGAAGTTGAAGGACCCTTGCTCTTTGATTTCCGCTGAAAAGGTAACAACATTTATCAAAAAAATTAATACGCGGCTAACTTCAGATGGAAGCAAGTACTTATCGTTAGAGCGTAGTAACACAACTGAAATAATGACCAACTGTTGAGAAAGCCCGAACCCCTCCCAATTTACGTGAAAGCTGTTGAACGTAGGTTTTCAGACAGGCTGATTCAGATAGTGAAAGTCCACTTGCCGTGAACCTCTATGGGGTTAAACTAACTTCAAGAATTGTTTATTGGATTGCAATTATTGCAGGTTGTTTATAAATGTGCGTAATGTAAATGTAATGAGCAATCGTAGTGCCATTCCCACAGATTTACGTCCAAAAAATCACGGTTCATAATTTGATGTATTTCATAAGTATTGGGCTCTTCCAAAATCTTTGCCCATTTCCATGTGTGTGTTGGCTCTCCAGGGATAATTTTTGAATATCCATTGTAAAAAGTATGTAAACCCTAGTCAATGATCTCTTCAGAGCATTTCTGCCGTGGTATTTCGCAGCGATTATGGCTGAGAAAATCGACTTTGACTGAAAGCATATTTGGCTACTCTTGATTCTAAAACCCAGAAAACGCGTCAGTGGAAGCGATGCGGCAAGAGCCCTACGTCTTGCGATGGACCTCCAGAGTGTCTTTCACGACATGGCAAACATTTGGTTGCCGATGTCCAGAAACTCGAGAAAAAAGCCCAAAGTCGGTGGCTTGTTACCTGAGTGACGAGTGTCTTCTGGAGTTGTTTGGAAACAGTCTGGTGCAATGCACGGTAACTGACACAGCTTTTCCACAGTTATCAGAACACAATAGCCATTCCTCAATAGCTCCTCAAAAAGAAAAGAAATTATGGCAAAAGGAGATTTCGTGATCTGGGTGACAACCGCCCTCAGAAGCCTTCAGATTTTGCATGAATATTTTGATTTACCGTCTGTATCTCGCTTGCCCCGACTACTGTGTTTTAGCAGTGGTAGCAAGTAGGTTC